TTGAAATTACCGTTACGTGGGTGGAGCCGGTGGTTTTTGTCCGATTTGAAAAATTTTGAATATGGCGCTTAAGAAGGCTATGCGCAATATGTATATCAAATTTGTATACACATATATCATATAATTGGGCGGTGCCAACCCCAATTTTCCTAGAATTTCTTGAAAACCCAGTTCTTTGCTAAACAGCGATTGTATATATCAATTTTGAATAATTACCCTCAAAACTCAAAACACATAAATCTACATAATCGTATTTTCTGACCTAAATCGACAAGTCGTGACCTCTAAATGACCTTTAAAAATCTCAAAAAATAGGCAATAATATTTCTAAAAGAAAACGAATAAAATTAGGTGTTAGGGTCTTGAAATTTCCAGGAAAAGCAAGCTCGTTATGTATGTACATATATCATTCAGAAATATTCATACAATACTCTCTACTTGGCAGAAGAATTTCTATTCTGAAGCGAAGTCACTTTGTCGTGAGTTAGAGACTGGACAAATTAACGTATCTGACAAAGTAGGTTAGAATAGGATGGCATGCATGAAATTATCATACTTCAACTCGGAGGCCATTTTTATGCTTATCAATCAATGCCCCCGATGAGTGCCCGAAGAAGGCGCAGCACTCTGTAATACTGATGATGTATGGGGTATGATATCCCCCATAACAAGGGCTGGTTCCCATTCATCCTTAGTTTTAAATCATATGCGAATACTGAAACGAATACTCTGAATGGCGTAATGTTGTCACTGATGGCCTCTAAGTCGGCCGTGATACCGTTACGCGGTCTTATTTTAAGTTCACTAAAGATCGCTTGATATATCAAGTAATATCAGCCTTTTTATAGAGTATTTATAGATTAGATGGAACTTATAATATCTTATGCGTAGTCACAGGGTTTTAGCTATCATTTTAATTTTTCGCTCATCGGTTATTCCTCTGTATACAATATATATGTGTTGTCTGAATTAATGTGCTTGGCTTTGCTCTTGACCCCAGTATGAGTGAGTTGTTCACTTTATTCTTATTTGGCACTACAATCGTTAGTCGGCTTAGGCGGATCCCAAAAACCGTCCTCAAATGGTTAGATCCTTTGCGAATTTGCGTCAGTGCAGAAAAGTCGTTTTGCACTTGCCCATTTTGTTAGCTATTTTTATGCGCTTAATTATGTCCATGTCGTTAAAAAGCTCGCACAGTTCGTCATTCTATGTTCTACGGTACCCATCACCCACGTAAACGGTGTCCAAAATATTGCGTAGAATAATTCGATCGAACGTCCCCAAAGCGTTATTATCTTTGTTTGTCGTCGTTCATATTTCAGCGCCACAGAAAGTATTACCTTTTGGAAAGACTTATCCATCGCTCAGACTCCAGGTTGACATTATTGATAGTGTTTATGCTAGATCCCTTTACTACTTAATTTAAAGTTATAACTGCTAAAAGTGACGTGTGTCCCAAAACGCGAAGACTCTATATGTTGCCAAGATTTGATTTTTCTTGTTCTCGCCTACCGCTGGTCCAACCATCTAAGTTCCCTATTTCAAGCTGAAAAATACTGTACTCAAGTTTTTGTCGTTAAGGTCAATGATGTCAATATCATATTGTACTCAACGTCAATTTACAAAAGTTTACAACGTCAAAAGTTTTGTGAGGACTCAGAATATAGACGTGACGTCGTAGAGTCAAAAAAGATCTCTGATTTCGGAACTCTTCGCCTTAATAGTTGTTCGGCTTGTGTAGCTAAATACCTATTGCACAGCGATGCGAAGAAAGTTGAAATCCTACTGCCGGTTTCACGGACCATGAAGAGTCTTTAATTTTTGACAGATTGAAAGCCAGTTGCCAGTAGTTGCTGCATGTATTCTTCTCGGATGGTACGGACTTCAAGAAGGCTCGAGGATTTTCTTCTGTCTATTACCACGTGATTAATTAGGTATTTCGTTCTTTAAGTGGGGGACACAAAAGTAGTTTTATAGATATTTCGACTCTGGCGTGTCGGCGGTACTACTTACGATTGTGTTCTGTGCCGCGGAGAAGTTAGTTGATCAGCTAAATTTCCTTGTCGGATGCATTATTGTGAATGCTGATTTTTCGACCGTTGGATCAAATGGGTTTGTTTGCCCATCCGAATACGCTAATTCTGAGCACTCGTAGAATTAGTCAGACGTTTACTTGCGTGAGGCGAATGTATTTGAACTCAACTTTAATACGCAACCACAAATACCACATACTACTTCTTACAGTCGTGTCCGCTTTTTATTTCTGTAAGTAGCCCCAGCATTTAGATACGTTGACCTTCCATATCGCTAGCTGAGTGGAAGATCGACCTACCTCGGCAGCCAGTTCGAAAACGCTCTATCTCAAAAAACTTTTCAAGAACGCCCTATTTCAGAATTTAATTGAAAAACACCATATCTCAAAATTCGGTTCAAAAACGCCCTATATCACTTCAAAATGTATTGAAAATATGCTGATATAGGGAGTTTTTGAATCGGCAGCTGAGATAGGGCGTTCTTGAAAAGTTTTTTGAGATAGACCGTTTTCGAACTGGCTGCCGAGATAGGTTGATCTTCCACTCAGCCAACGATATAGAGGGCGCGTACTTTCCACGTCTCGTCAATCGTGCATCTTGCTTCGTCTCCGAGGGACGTAAACATATTTTGTAGTGCCAATTATCGGAGACTTATTTAGTCTTTTCATTGAACTTGTTATTTGCGTGGCGGGTCCGAATTCCAAACCCATTACCGGGTATTGAGATCAAATAACTTATTTCCTACTTATGTACTAATTGCCTACCTTCTCATATGAAGAACAAATTCTATGTGAATAGCCGGTATAGCTCATTGCAATTCGTCCGCACCGCTTAGAATTAGGCATTAAATAACCCACATTGTTTTGGTAATCAGTAAGAGAGTCGATGATTTTTTAGGTTTTTAACCTAAGGGACTCTTCACCGGTATACAAAGCACCTTTTTACTGAGTTATGATTTTTTAATTTACTAACCAACTGCAATGTCAACTTTGAGCGTCTTAACTTTATTTCCAAAGCAGAGTGTAGAAACCTGGCTGGTTGTCAAGGTTGCTTTCGCTAAACTTTTGTTGATATACTACCTGTAAGGAATAATCACACATATTTCTCAGTATATATGTATGTAATTTAAAATATGTACATACGACTAGGTACATGCAACGAGCTTCGTGAAGCTTTCTTATCACGCACTGTGGCATCCTTTCGGATAATACTCTCGCGCTCGGCATTTTTTCTACACTATGTATATATCCTGATAACTTCAGCTCTCTCTCCCCCTCTCTCTGAAGCTACCTTGCACGGCAGCCAAATACCGCTTCACTTCAACTCTTTATATACTCGTATCAGCTGTTTCACAGCATCCTTTTATGTACTTCGCGCAATTTCTCTCCGAGCCGTCATAGGAGAAGTTCACCACACCTGCGACGCGCTCTCGATGTTGAATCACATGAGCTAGCAACCAACATGCGACGGACCACTGCATCATTTAGTCATCACCACGCTGTCATCTTTATTGGTTCACTGTACGGAAGGGAATATAACGGGAGTATTCACATTAACAATACCTGCAATAAAGTTTATCTCAGTGTTTGGGTGTGGGCTTGTGAGCGTTTCGGTTTATGTGTGGAATTGCGCGCGTCATTATATCTGCGTATATAATCATCCTCGTACATACATACATACATATAAAATTCGGCATCAACAAAATCTCGAGTGAATGTGAGTGGCACCGCTATGCAATTCGCGTATTTTTTCTTTGGTTAAGTAATAGTTTTCGTTGTTATCACTTTTCTGCGTGTGTGTGTGTGTGCGTTTTTATGCGCACGCTACATTACGGTATATTTTTTATGAGTGAGCTCGTCTATAAAAAGTATCTAAGTACATATTTGTTTTTGAATTAAAAATGGATATAAAAATTAGTTTCCAGAATTCATACATATTTACATACTATCTATATTTTCCCGACTACATATGATAAATGATATCTGCTTCAACTAAACGAAAATGTCTAAAAATGTGGCTGTGACTGCCACTCAACCACTCAGCCCCTCAATCGCTAGGCGTGAGGGCATGCAAGCGTTATGAGCGAATGAGTTGTTAATTGGATGTGACAAATTTCACATTTGCTGTGACATTTTTCAATGACAGCAGTGACGGTGAAATGGCAAATATGTAAGTGAACAAACATAAACGTGTAGCAAACAACAACAATTAAATGAAAACCAAATATCAGAGAGTTCATTAGTAATTCGCCGCAATCTAACGACCCCAAATTTTCCACTTACTTATATTTGCGCTCCACATCTGCTACCACCAGCTTGTGCGCCTGTAAATATGCCTTATTCTCTAACTGTACTTGTACGCGCCTGTCACGGAAATAGAAGTCAAAATATTTAGTATAACTGGCAGTGAGGCATCAAATGTAAAAGTTTCCAAAGTGCGAAAAAGGGGGAACAGGAAACAGCACGTTCGCTAATTGCAAGCATACTCTGGTCTTAATATACCTACATATATACATGCTCGTATATAAATATGTACTTATATATGTATAGCCTACCGTTGTGCGATTACATATTTAATATTGTGTTAGTCTATTTGTAAATGCGCGCGAAGTTAATTGGCGGCAAATGTTGTTGACGATACAGATGACGACGAAATGCCCTCTGATTTTGTCAGCTACGAGAAACCATAACTCGGTCAGTCGGTCGTGTTGTTTGGAGTCACATGTTACGCATAGTTAATGATAAAAACAACTATGGAATATAAGCACAACTACGTCCATACATACATATGTACATACATAATAGGGATGTTAATTTTTTCGCTTTTTACAATCCCGGGATTTTCGCGATGTCATTACCACAATTCCCGGATGCCGGGATTAGTTCCGATATTTAGATATTTATTACTTTCAAAAACTTAAATGGAAAAAATTGAATCTACCACACCTACGATAAAATAAATAATAAATACATAAATGGGGTTGAAACCTACTTTTTTATTTAAATTGGCGTTTTTATTTCTTCTCTCTGACGTCCGGATTTATTTTAAAGGATTTTGTAATTTCAAAGATATGAATAATTCCAAAAAATATGTAAAAAATTCAATGCAATGTAGAATAAAAAATTGAAATTTTTTGGGATCACAAGGACGAATAGGTAACTTTTTAAGCTGATAAAACTCGGAGGATGAAATTGGAGGAAGTTATCGAGTTCTTATAAGTCCTTAACATATAATTTTTTCAAAAACAAATATTGCGTAATTTAAAGGATAACAGTTTAAAAGAAAATTCAATACTTACCAGTTCTTATGCACCAAAAATTTAATTTGTTTAAATTCTACAGAATTCTACTTCTTCTCTAAGCACATTTCACCAAATTTTTTAAATCATTTTTAAACTACTGACCTCAGAGTGATAAACTAAAAACCCAATCTTACAATATATGGCCCATGGTTTCGCGAATATATTGATTTTTGTGTATGAAATTTATTATCGCACTGTGTTATATGAGCTAGACATTTATAAAAAATATTAGTTATTAAATAAAAAAAAGAAATATAGCCAATTCTGGTCAAGAAAAGGAGTTTCTATTATTGCCATCAGTGCAAAGTACAAATCCCGAAAATCGCGGGACTATTTGCCAAGAATTCCGGGGTTTTCGGAACCTAAAAAATGCCGGGATCCCGGGATTAACATTCCTAATACATATGTACATCCATTCGTGCTTACATACATGCATACATGTGTATTAGGGGTGTTGCGAATATTTGCATTCGCATTCGTTATGCGAATGATTCGTATCATTTTAAACATTCATATTCGCATCAAATGATACGAATATTTTGCGAATGCGAATGTGTACATGGGCAGTAGGAATGAATCTATACAAGTAAATCCAAGTTTGACAGTCAAAGACAATGGCTCGCTAGAAACTTTAGCAAAACAATGCTCATTTTAGATGATGAAAGTTAGTAATCTATATTTGGTTGAAAATTACTGATTCTACAACGGCGATCATATAGCATATAATAAATAAGTTTAGGCCTAATTTGGAACCAAGCGTTATTCTATTCTATTTATCGCGAGTTCTAAAAACGGAATTTTAAAATCATTCTGATACCGTTTTAAAGTGACAATAACTATGTATATATTTTGGACAGATAAAGTATTATCGCGGCGATCGCTGCAGCGTTTTTGTTTCTAATGTGGTCGCGCCTAGGTACCACCGAGCGTATTTTAGCCATGAAAAACAGCTTCTCATAAAAACACAATCGCCGTTCCGAGTCGTCGTAAAACTGTAGGTTCTTCCTCTTTGTGTCACATTATCAAGACGCACGCCACAAATCGGAGGAGAAGCGCCAGTCTATAAAGGATCATCGCATAATGCAAAGAAAACGACTGGTTACTTGGATTCACGAAAAATCCATTTTTTCAAAAGAACTCAATCCGACAAATTTTCCTCAATGTCGTCCAGTTGAGAATTTTTTGGTAATCTCAGCGGTGACGTGGAATAGTGTCAATGGAATTAATGTCAGCAATGTTAAAAATCATGTAAACTCTACGGAGACCTGTAGTAAGGCGCATCGGAAATAATATAATAATCGGAAATATATAATATAATAATAATTATTGCAACATTGAAGAATAGATAAGTGTTCCCTCCTAAATTTAAACATGCTCTGCTCATCTATCTCACTAGGTTGTCGTGCTTGTACTTTCAGAAATTCGCTCCGGATTTTATGTCTTCCTTAAGTTTCCTTGCTTTTTGATAACATTTCCAGGTGTTCCTCCGATTGCCCATCGTTTCAAGCCTTCTTGCTTCTCTTTTCAGCTCTCTATATCGATACCAAACAGCTTGCGTTACGCTCGATCGCAGCGTGGCCGTGTGTTCGGCATATTTTTTCTCTACAGCTTCTGGACACTACCCATCGTACCAGTTGTTCATTCGGCCTCACTGAAATCCGACTTTCTTCGGCGGTACTTTATGAGCGGGAAATGCGTTTCCACTGCTTGCGTATGTAGGTTTGTTGAAGAGTGCTCTCTGAGAGCAAGTGTGAGAGTCGGGTAGCGAATGCAGTGGTCGTCTGTGGTGACAGCAGCTTTTCGACAAAAAGCTTTTCTGCACACACACACAGAGGCAAGTGGATAGTCGAGTCGATGTTTTGGCCTCGGAGTGTACGTACGTCTAAAACACTTTAAGCGTGCCTTCCGTCTATCACAATATGATCGATTTGGTTTTGTTGTGTTTCGATTTGAAAACAGCTACTGCATACTTCCATGTTTAGAAATTCTCTATATAGTTAAGTAGAAAAATTGTACGCATCGCGGGCATCACTTAGATGACTTAGCCAAATAGTATGTCAACGCCGCTGTTTGCTGATTTTCTAAGCACAGAAATATAGAAGGGAAGGAAATAACTCCTTCTTTACACTGATTTGTATTCTTCTGAGGAAAAATTAAAAAGACCTGCGGAGCAATCCAGCGGATAATTAAGTTTAAAAATCTTTGTGAACGTGTCTTAATAAGAAACGCACTGAGGACCTTTTGACGTAAACAACTTCGCAGTAAAAATTCTTCCATCACAGGACCATTTGCTACTAATCCAATGCTCCCACGATGGCGTATACCAGCAAGTTCTCTCCGCAGAAGTGGTCGTAGGAAGAAATCGATTCACCATTTCCTATATAAACGGCAATCTCTTAGGGCAAGCCGACTCACGTACTTGGGATTTTGGTATTCCACCAGATGAGCAGAGATAGATAGGGAAAATTATCGGACTTCCAGAATTTTTTTTCAGCGACAGTAAATAGTTTAAAAAACGCCATGGGTATACTTTGAAATAACCCCGGCTAGAGGACACTCATTAGAATAAGAAGTGGTACATTTATTGAATTATGAATTTATTTCGCTTTGTCTCGCTGGGTAGGTATTCATACGTAAGTGGCTATGCAGCTACATATGCGTTTACATATGTATGTAAATGGGGCGTTCCATACCAAAACGGACGGGATTCACACTTCATGTGTTTGATTTGTTTCAAATTTTAAGGGTTGACGCATAAACATAAATAATAAATAAATATCAAATTTTAGCTTGATTAATACATTTTTAAAAACTTTACAGCACAAAAACCAAAACAAATCGATTCAATAGTTTTCCAAATATCTCGAGAACGGCACTCATCCCTTTTTCTGTATTGTGGAAGTGAACGATCTGCTGGAGTAGCTGGGCTAAAGCATTTGCCAGTAGATTGCCTATATGGATGATGTTGTAGTGGATGTAGGTTTCGAAACATGCCTTTATGATCTGAATCACAAGAGCCTGAGCTTTACATCCACAGCCAGCCAACAATGGTCCTCGTTTTATTCATGAGAAATTCTGAGCTATCCAATGCAACTCCTTCCTTAATTAGAGGCGTTCTGCTTGTGCTTCCAGTTGGAGAGGTGGTTGTCGTGGAAGACTAACCTCGAAAAAGGTATTAAGGAAATTGTAAAATATATAATTTTTTCCGAACCCAAAGTCGTAAGAGATTCAAAAAAGTTAGAGTCAGAGGTATACGGCGTACTTTTTCCGGTATGATCCAAAGTACATAAATAAAATGTGTTCAATATCTTAATGCCTTAAAGCCATTCTTTAAGCTTAACAATCAGTAAACTTAAATAAACTTAATTAAATATCTCAAAGTCAATTGAAAAGGGTCAAATGAAAACGGGCTGTG